TGAATACGTTTCCGTGTTAGTCAACAAATTTCACATCAAACCATATTTTTTCTTATTTCCATAAATTGACTTAAAAGCTCAAGACAAATAAAAAAAACAATCCTCGTGTTTAGAATTCGTTTCCGTGTTCGAAAACAAACATCACATCAAACACATCTTTCCTTTCTTGTTTCAATAAGTTTTAAAAGCACAACAAAAATAAGTATTACAGTATATGTGTTTTCAATATGTTTCCGTGTTAGACAACAAATAACCCATCAAACTATATGTTTTCTCATTTCACTAAATTATTTTAAAAGCCCAAGACAAATAAATAACACAACTTATTTGTTTTAAATACGTTTCGGTGTTAGAAAACAAACATCACATCAAACCATACATTTCCTTATTTTAATCCATTTTTGAATAAAAACTAGACAAATAAGTAACACAGCCCTTGTAGATAGAATTCGTTTCCGTGTTGGAAAACATACATCATATCAAACCATATATTTTCTCACTTAAATATATCACAATATAATACAATAATATATTATTATATGTTCCTAAATATACGCAACACAATGTACATTTTCAGCAGATAAGCGAAATTCAATTATTCGACAAAAAAACGCATACCAATTTAGTTAGATAAATGCGTCTCGCCGTTTTACTAAACGTCACTTGTTTCCCCAAAAAACAGTGTATTGTGTAGGTACGTTTGGAAAAAATACTGTTTGTTTTAATACAATTATTAGGGAATCCCATTTTTCAAATTATGTTTTGTAAATTATACCTCCAAGATGGCAAGAATTATATTGTGCTGATCCGCTGAACTGTGCATTGTGTTGCCTATATATAGTAATATAATAGAATATTATGTTGTGTTGTATTGTTACATTATTTTAAATATAATATATGTAATTTTTTTTTTGGGATAAAAATAAATACTGAACTTTAGAGGTTTACTGTGACAGTTTTTGATAGACACTCCATTCTAAAATATATTTAGATTTATTTAGAAATATATTTATGCGCTTTTAAAAAAATGTATTGAAATACGAAAACGTATATTTCATATTAAAATACACACAATAACCACAACATAAATATTTTAAGCAATCTTATTTGGGAAAATTTATTTATTATTTATATATACTTAGGCTTTTTATTCTTTATAAAACTGGGATTCGTAGAGAAAATAATCTATTCGTGTGGTTTTTGAGTTGTACACTAATTTGTTGTAGCTAAAGTAATAGATAAAATGCACCTAAAATTAACTGTTTTCTTAATATTTTCTGGTTTGATTATAAATCCTGTTGTGGGTCCTCCATATAAAGCAGAGACGGCCATGAACCATGTTAATCTTCTACAATTATTGTAAAATCAGGGTTCTAGTGTACGAGCAAATAAATAGTTCTAACAATTAAGTACATTAAATACAAAACGTAATGCTTTTAAAAACACTTATTTTCGAAAAAAAGACAATAATAATTCTGTATTAGTAAATTTGTAATGTATAATGTTAAAACTTAAAAATGCATGATACCTACAGTTCTTTGTTATTAATTTAGTTGGCAACAGTTGTTGTGAAAAACAACATGTTTTCGATAAGTAAAAAATAAAACTATACATGGTTATACATAAATGGTGGTAAAACACTGTACATGATAATGTAAGAAAATAAATCATTGGATTTTGTGTAAACATAAGATTGAAATCAAATATAAAACGCAAGTTGAGTGCATAAAATATTAATGATTAAATATATAAGGGGTTGTTCAGGGGGGGGGGAGAGATTTTGGTTTCTTGTAGGTATAGTAAAATTGTTATTAATTATAATCATATTATTAATGATCATTTATCTTAAAGATGAATTAATAATTACAATTTATTACACGCACTTATAAACTAAACATTCTCATAATTTACAATAACATATGTATATAAACTTGAGCCAAGGGGGGCGATTGCCTCATCGCCCCCTCCATCTCAAACCCCCCAATGGGGTTTTTTTTGGGGGGGGGGGGTTTCCGGCATTTAAGACAATCCCGTACAACAAATTTCCCTCCATCTCTCTCTGTCTTCTGCTACTTCCCTACAGTGGATCTACTGCTTTAACGACTCTCTCACCCACCACTTAAGTTAAGAAGGTTAAGAAGCATAAATATTATATTAGTATGTTATGTGATAATATTATAGCTATACTGAAATAATTTTAATGAAATCTTGATTTGGACCAAAAACAAAGCTATACATATTTTTTTTTTGTATTGTGTTAAATTTTAAAGATTTTCCATTTGTTTACATAGCTATAGGGATTTCAGAAAAATGCTTTGAACACTTAAGTACACAAAAGACAAAACGAAATATGAAAACAACTTGTTTTTGCCGAAGAATAATAATAATATTGAAACTTTACGATACCAACATATACATTTGTCATTTGCTTACATTGCAACGGTCCTTGTGGAATAGTCGAATACTTACGATTTTGTTTAACACTAATAAGCTCTTTATGTAGCTAAATCTATTCGGGTGGAATAAAATTATATTGTAATAATATTATAGAAATTTAAATATAATCATAAAAATATAAACTTTGTATGAGGTTAAATGGTGGTTTAATTAGTTAAAAGAACAGTCCAATTAGTTTCAAATTTGTATGGTATTATATTTTTAAGATAAAGTAAGTAGACAATTAAAGTACAAAAATAACCAAAACAATTTCCCAAACCCCAGAAGGGGTGGTAACTATTTTGTCTAAATTTATCATTTTCGAGCAAAGTTTTAGAACACAAGGTCTGAAAATTAGGCTGAAGGTAGATCTAGCGCGGGGTTAAAAAAATATATGGGATTTTTTTTAGCTGAATCAACAGTGAACAATATTTATTCAATTTGAACGCTTTACAACATGTTTTTCGTCTTTCTGGCATACTCTCTGCAAATTAATAACTGAGGGCCCTCCCAAATCTATTGCACACATTACATATACTGTGTTGGTAAATTTTAAATTATTGTTGTTTACTCTGTATGATCAGGTGTAGTTTTTATATTTTTGCTAACTGCTCGATATAGGTAACTCGATCTTCATTCGTTAGATTCCCTCACAATCCTACAGTTGTTCTTCACGTTTAATATTCTCTTTACCGCAGTATAATCTCATTCGCTTTATAATGGCAACTATCAGGTACTTCTTTATTGTTTTATCCGTCTGTGTTGTTTGTTCGTTTGCAGATGGTATGTATAATTTAAGTTTTTATACTACAAACCTAGATATAAATACAGATATATATATATATATATATCCTTTGATTTATCTAACCAGCTATCATATTTTCACAATACATTTATTGTTAATTTTGTTTTTTTAGATAGATTCAAAAAACATGACTTACTTCTCTTACCAATGGCGGATGGTAATTATAATTATGTTTACCTTAAGTATACATACTCACAATATTATGTGGATGTTATTTTTATTATAATAATAATCACTGGTGTGACTGGATTTTTTTTGGGGTATATATGTATAATATAGTACATGTAATTTATTATAATTTTTGGGCCGGCTGGAGACTCTACCCAACTTTAACCCAAACTAAAAGGGCTTAGCCTTTATTGTCCATCCTTAAGTCCGCCTATGATTAGCCAGCTACTTGGTAGTGGCGTGTAACTAAGCAAAACAAATTAATAATCATTTTTTTTTTTAAATATGCTTTTCTAACTTTAAACTTTATTCTTAAATGTCTTGATTCCCAAGTCTAATTTAAAGTTGAGGTTATAAAATAGTTTGAGTTCAGAACCAAAACAAAATTGATGAGATAAAATGTTCCTTACTAAGTTGAGTGTTTATAATTGCTTAAATTTTAAGAAAATTTACTTAAAACCCAAATACGACTTTTAAATTATGTACAATATATTTTTTAAGTTCTATAATTGCATTAAAAAAAGAAAAATAATTAATTGTATTGTTCATATTTCAATATATTAATAAGATAAATTAAATGCTGCTCCATTATATTGAAATGTGCTGAATAGGAGCTGAAGGAGATTTTGATAAAAATAAAAATGTATTTAAAAATTGATAGATTATCAATTACTTTACACTAATGTATTCCAAACTCGACTAAGGCATTCATTTTAAAGTAATATTTTGTTTTATTCAAGTGCTCGGCGGTTTGAAGTTTGTAGCTGAAGGTAAAAGTATAATAAAATGGGTTCTAAGACAAAATGTTATTTTATAATATTTTCCTTGCAGATGGTAAAAGTCCGTTGCATAGTGATAGATCAAGTAAATATGAATTTTTTAAATTAAGTTTTAGGTAAAATTTTATTATTACTTTCATTGCAGGTAAACATCCAGGTACCAAGGATACCCACAGGGACAGGGGGGCGGGGAACTCCCTCCTTGGTTTTCTGAAAATTAAAAAAAATGTGTACCCCCCCAGAATTTTTACCTGCGGGCTCTCCCTTGATCCAGATTATACTAATCTAGACATAATGAAGATTTTTTAATCTATGACAGTAACAAACATAGACTTGCTAAATGAACAAATCGGTCCAGCGTTTTTGTCCTTATAATTTTTAAGCACAATTTCGTCATAACTAGTGTTTGTTATATTATTTAAAAAATAGTTTTTATACGTTTAACAGGCCGAATGTGCTGATATTTTGGCTTAGTTTTTCGAGGGCAATATTTTGTTTCATATAATTTTAAATAATTGTTCAAATTTATTTTTTACTGTTTTATCAACTATATTTTATTTAAGTATTTTAAATTCTAAAAAAGCCAGACAAGTGGTGTCCAGTCATAGTGGAAACGGGGAAGTCACAGGTTTAAAGAAATTATTATCACCTAAAGTGATAAAAGCACTAAGAAACACGGCCACTTAGTTTAATACTTTCTTATTGTACAAATTTGTATTTAATAAACTAAGTTACAATTTTCTTAACCTTATTAGTATTAACGGGGAGTGGGGAAGTGTCCATTATTTGCTACACTTATGACAAAACATTTCGACACAGATATTTTATTATTATGTAAAATATTTTATAAACAACTTTTCTGCTTTACAGGTTCAATGCTTATTATAAAAAAAGAGTGAGTATTCATATTTCTATCGACGTTTTACTAGGAAAAACATTTTCAACTTTTTTTTTACAATGTCAAAACCAGTTGAGTTCAGTAACGGCGCCAAAACTTTTGCATTAGGTGGGCCAGGCCGAGGCCAACATTTTTTAAAAGGGGAAGGGCACAATTTGAACTGGTCATTATCTGTGGTGGATGTGCCCCACTTCCCCCTCACCCAAATCACACAGAATATAGGCACAACATTAACTAAATAATAAAAAGTACATAAAAATATTAGCCAATCCAAATAGTCCAGTATCTCTTATAGGGAATTTAATTTTTATTTTGTGATGCTTTAGCTTAGATATTTTTTTTTTTGATAGTGTCTTCTCATTAACGTATTACAATATAATTAACTACAATCAAGAGCAATTGACTTCTTACATTTTTTATGAAATACTTGGGCTATTGCATAGAATATTAAAAAATAAAGCTATAGCTATTTTATTTTTAGTTCTCCTGCATACAATGATGTTATGAAAAAAATTGACGAAAACGAAGCGTTACCACACGGTGATAAGTTCTCATTCATTTATACGTTTGACGTACAAGATTGGCGCTTTGGAACTATAAACGTTGAAGATAATTGATATTGCCTGGATAAAAAAAAAATAAACATTATACATTTTTTTATTTAAAATACACATAAAATTATAATAGTTTCATTTTAAAAGCAATATAATGTCATAAAAACACAATAAAAATATTTTAATATAAATATATGGTCATGTGTTTTTCATACGTTATTGACCTTTAAATACTTCTTTATAGCTATTGTCAAGTATAACATATGTCTTAGACAATTTTTTGAGCTTACATTTGTTTTTATTTAGGTCTAGAGCAATTATTATTAATATTCAGTCTAATCGATCAAGTCAACTTGTTTCGCATTTTACCCTAGTCCCAAAATCTACCTGGAGAACTTACAGATTTACATTGATTTGAATAGTTTAAACTATTACTTGACTTTATTTTATATTTTCCAAATAGACAATGAGCACACATAAAAAACAATACCTTTATTATATAATTTTAGTTCTAATAAACATGTTTAAGATCCACTCTTTGGCATAAAAGCACAAACAATATTTACTTATATATGGCAAATAATATAACTCTTTTTATATCTTTTAATTAACTCATAATTAAGACAAAATATTGCGGCTATTGACAAATAAAACATAAGTCCTAGATCAATTTCCTAAAACGTCCTAACTCGACAATACCATCACTCGGTCGTAAAGTATTTTGTGGGCTGCAATTTGTTTGATAACAATAATAAATAATAATTGTACAAAACTTATCAATTTATGACTTACTCACTTACAACCATAGTTGTTTTCATTATATTAGAGAATCAATGTTATTTTTCAGTGTCTATTTTTTACTACGTGTAATTGAAGATTTCCTAGGACATAGTTATGACATGGGGCGCTAGTTGACTTTTAGATATAAGATATTGACGAATTGTTTTTTACACTTTATCGAACATAACAAATTGCCTGATTAGTGTTTCTAGTTTTAACTAAAACTCTATCTCAGACTTAAACAGCTTGCGCATAGTATTTTAGTTTTCTTAAACATGTTAATTGTTAATATGCAAAAATGTTATTATTTCCACAGAACTGTAACTTTGTATTTTAGTTGATGTGTTTTTGTTTATTGGTTTGTATTTTGGACATTTTGTTTTTTTTTTTAGTCTAGTAGTTAAGCTATAAAGCCATCAGAACGTTACACGTCTGGTTTTTTTAAACTTGCGTATTTGTACATAAGTAACCTACATAATTTTCTAGTTAGTTAATATCAAAATATGTTATTATTTTAACAATACACGGGCACGATATTTTATCAATCTCAATCTATCCCAAAAAAGGTTCATCCTTACGCAAAATATAATTTATTATAATGTAGGGTTTCAGGATTTTTTTTTTATATTGTTTGTCCATCAAAACTATGCTACAACAAAAAAATTCTAAAACATTAAAACCCAATTTATTTTACACGAGAAAAGAAAAAAAATTAAAAATCTGTTTACTACAAAATTGAAATCGGACCATCCTAAGTATAGTCGATAATTTGTTTAGTTTTTTAGTCTAAAATGTAAAAAAAAATCCGACTGCACGAAACTCCCATAAGTACAATATTTTCGGTTAGGTATTCTTGAAAAGGTTTCTTTTATTTAATACATGTTATCATTGATTATAAATACTGTAGATATTATATATACTATATTATAGATAATATTTATAATCAATGATAATATGTGTTTGATAAAACAATTTAAAAATTAATCTATAATTATTGTAAAAACAGAGTGCTACAATACAGGAAAATAAATTGAAAATTTAAAGTTCATCCTCTGACATTCTTGAAAAATGTGTAGTCTACACGTTTATGGAATTAGAAACATATGTTCCCATTTGAAAAAAACCGACGCCCTTACTTGTATACGTAAAACAAGTATCGACAAAAATTATAGACGAAATGTATTAATCAATTTTAGTGTTTGGATTTTAAGTTTTCATCATTCTGTTCGAATTCTATTATTTTGCTAAGATATTACAGTTCCCCTTACAATATTACATTACTTTTTATGTTAATTTTAATGATTATAAAAAATGTACTAAAAATAAAACAGGCTTTTTTTTACATTGTTTGTCCACCAAAACAATGCTAAAATAAAAAAATGCACATTATGCAGACAAATCATACCAATTTTTTTTATTTATGTTAAACTACAATTATTTATTTATGATGGAAAATTTATATCATTCTGAATATTGGTTTTTTTGACTCGAGGCGGAGAAAATGTTTAATTTTTTTTTCTTTATTCTTCTATACGCTAAGGCACTAATGTACAGTTAATAGATATAAATTGAAAATTAGTATTTAAATTTTATTCGCATTTTCCGTATTGTACAAAAACCAAGGTTTCGGGTTTTTGCATTAAATACAGCACTTTTTACAATGACAGCTGAAATGTACACAAATGACAAATATTTTAATACAACCTTTATTTTTGATTTTAACAAAAATTGGTCATCATTATAATGTATGTAACAATAGAGTAATATCATACAGAACAATTCTTTTAAGCATTTAAAAACACAAAAAAAATGAAACATAATACAATTAAAAATAAACCTGGGTTATTTTTAGTGCATTTGCTTGTCTGCTTCCTAGCATACTTAAACGTTAATAACGAAATCAAAACCTATAAAAATTGATTTGTAAAATATAACAGCTCTCGTAATGTTAAAATAAAATGTTTTAAAGAGAATAAAGTTTAACTCTTGTATGGGTGTCTTTGTATTTTGTACTAGAATATTATATCAATGTGTTTTAAACAACGCTCTCATAAACAGGTAGTACTCTACCTTTATACACACTATTGCAAACATATATCAAAATAAAGAAAATGTATTTTTGAATCTGTTCTAAAAAAGAACCTCTTGAAAAAAAAAACGGTTATATTAAACAGTTTTAACTGTAGTTTAAAATCATATTGTAAAAGTGATTAAAAATATTAGATATTGCAAGTTTTTAAACAGAAATGTTGAGCCTATGTTTTATTTTAATAGAACCACAAAGCCCATTAAACTATATAGCTGTTATAACTATTCCCGGGTCGCGCAATTCGCATAGAAACTGTGGACAACAGTTAATATTGAATTGGCCAGGCAGATTTTAACTATTCAATAATTGAATACAGTTAATTATTTTCCAACGAAAATCCTGACCTAGCCTCCAATCAATAGACATAATGGGATACGGACTACGTGTCATTCTTGTCTTAAAATATGTTGTAGCAAGTATGAGCATTTAGCTGGGAAGATAAACTGAAGATCATTTAGACCTTGAAACGAGTATTATTTACGTTATCCTTCAAACCCGGGATGAGTTCCAATATGTTTCTGTTAGTCATGTAGTTATTTAAGTGTTTTATACTTATGTGTTTATTTAATGCTATTAGTAATTTTTTCTGTGAGTTGCTTTAGTTTTTCTAAAATTTTACAAATTAGGGTATTGATGATAACACCATTTTCAATACTCAAAATAATATTATCTAAATGGACACTTGTTTCAAATTAAGAACAACCATATTATTATTTCCAGAGAACTGTAATTTTGAAATTCGGTTGATTATTTTTTGTCTAGTAGTTAAGCTTGAGCCATCAGAACACACCAGTTACACATCTGGTTTTCTTTAAACATATGTATTTGTATATGAGTAACCTACATATTTTTCTAGTTTAATATCAAAATATGTTATTATTTTAACAATACACCTGCACGATATTTTATCAATCTCAATCTATCCCAAAAAAGGTTCATCCTTACGCCAAATATAAATTATTATAATATATTCCAATTCCTGACAAGCATTTTACCGGCCGATCTCTGTATTTTTTTGTAGGTTTTATGAATACCTAACAAAAACTGTATGCACCTTTGTAATCTATAAGCTAGTTATTACCTAAATGAAAAAAAAAATGTTTACATTTCAATGAGCTTTAAAAACGGTACAACGAGTAAATCTTTGTAAAAAAAACCGGCGTTAAAAATATAAATTTTCTAATTTGATATTAAGGCCAATATTAAATATAAAAGCTTATAGTTTGAATTAAAACGAAACATGATTATTGGTAGATAATATCATCAATCTACGAATACATTTAATGTCCTACATGAACAAGTTTATCATGTAAGTATTGAAACAAACATTTCAAAAACTCAAAATAAACCTAACCTAAAATAAAAAAAAGTTCAAAAATGTACATATTTTGAACTTATTAAAAATATTCAGCGCGCTATTAAAAAAAAAAAAAAAAAAAACACCATTTGTTTCAAATTTGTATTGTATGTTATATTTTCAAAATATAGTAAGTAGACGCATAAAGTACTAATAAAACGTGTTGAAAAACCAAAACCATTTCCCAAACCCTATTCCCTAGAAGGGGTGGAAAATGTTGTCTATATTAATCTTTTTCCGTCAAAGTTTTATGACTCAAGGTCTGAAAATTAGACTGCGGGTAGATCTAGTGAGAGGCTAAAAAAAAGTTGGGCATTTTTAAGCTGAATCAACAGTGAACAATATTTACTCAATTCGAACGCTTTCAACATGTTTTTCGTCTTTCTGGTCTGCTCGCTGCATATTAAAAACTGAGGGGCCTCCCCAAATCTTTGGGACGCATTACATTTGTGTTGGTATATATTAAGTTATTGTTGTTTGTTCTGTATGTTCAGGTGTAGTTTCTATATTTTTGTTACCTATGTCGACATAGGTAACTTGATCATTAGTTAAAACCGCATGCATTTTTGTAACCGTCTATTAGCTAATAATTTGTGAAAATTAGAAGCTCTACAAAAATGGCTATAGTAATAATTAAAAATACAGTTTTGGGAACAACAAAAACCTATCTGAATGACTAAACAAACAATTTGGACGAACGTCTTCTGATAGTTTAGCTTCGAGAAGGGGGAATGCCACAAGACATTATCATGTTGCAGTATATTTTCTTTTAGGGAAATATGATACTTGTTTTGTACTTTTAATGTCCATTTTAAATTTACTTCGAGTTCTCAAGTTGCGAAGAGAATAACTGCGCATAACTTGTTTAATGTAACCAAACAAAATTCACCTTGACGTCATTAAGAGGCCTCAACACCTGTGTCTTTTCTTACGAAAACAACACATTTTTTTATTTTGCTGTACTCTGAAATGTGTTAAACTACAATAATTTTGAAAACTAGTACCCATTTTTCAATAGTTATTCGATGCATATATCGTAGTACATTTTTAAATGAAGTTTTAAATTTTGTTGTAAGAATTATTATTATTCACAATACCCTTTACCACTCAATTTCAATTGTAATTTTTATTAATACCTAATAACAAATGTACTCGCCAACAAAAAAAAAAAATCAATTCGATCACAGAAATCAAAATTCAAAGAAATCTCTGAATTTTATTAGGAGAATATAGCATATTATATTTTTTGAGGAATTGCCGACTTTTTAAAAATTCTGATATCTTCCTCAGAATTTCAGTAAAAATTATAAACATTTCTGAGTTTTATAGAAAAATTTATACAAATAACTACTGTCTTATGGTGCAAAGTGATTTTAACGCATGTTTAGTTACTTGGGATGATAACCTTGATTTAAAGCCAACGCAAATTCCTACCTTGTCCCGTATTTCTAAACCCTATCCCTAGAAGGGGTGGAAACTTTTGTCTATATTTATCTGTTTCCATCAAAGTTTTATGACTCAAGGTCTGAAAATTAGGCTGAAGGTAGATCTAGTGCGGGGTTAAAAAAAATTATGGAATTTTTTTTAGCTGAACCAACAGTGAACAATATTTACTCAATTTGAACGCTTTGCAATATGTTTCTTCGTCTTTTTGGCATTCTCTCTGCAAATTAAATACCGAGGGCTCTCCCAAATCTATGGCACACATTACCTATATTGTGTTGGTATATTTTAAGTTATTGTTGTTTACTCTGTATAATCAGGTGTAGTTTTCATATTTTTGCTAACTGCTCGACACAGGTAACTCGATCTTCATTCGTTAGATTCCCTCACATACCTACAGTTGTTCTTAACGTTTAACATTCTCGTTTACCGCAGTATACTCTCATTCGATTTATAATGGCAACTATCAGTTACTACTTTATTGTTTTATCTGTCTGTGTTGTCTGTACGTTTGCAGATGGTACGTATAATTTAAATGTTTATACCACAACCCATATATATATATAAATATTATACATATATGTTATTCTCTGATTTACTAGCTATCATATATATATTTTTTTTTTAGGTAGATTCAAAAAAGATGACTTAGCTCTCTATACAAGATTTACGGGTAATTAACACATTAAACATACATACAGATAATATTATGGAAATGTCATATTATTATAATAATAATCATAGGCAAACAAAAGACTTCATTTTTAGTGGGGTCTATACAATATGGTGCATGTAATTTATTAAAATGTTTTGGCCGACTGGACACTCTACACGAATTAAATTGAACTTAAAAGTGAAAAATAATTGTTTAACGAGAACTATCTATCAATGAGTTGTAATTCAGTTTTTAAAAATACAATTTCAAACAATGTTACACGTCTTTAAATTTGGACTAAAAAGAAAAGCTTGTTTGCTTATACCTTTGTTGCACAGGGTCACATATTTTTAGTTAAAATTTAAAGATGTTTAACATTATTTAAAATTGTAGTTGATTTTCGATTGGTTTCAAAGTAATTGACGTTTTAAACATGATGTAGTACAAATATATGGTTAGTTAATGTACTTGCAAAAAACTTTTACAAAAAAAATACATTACAAATAAAAGTTTTTTTTACCAATATTTAGAAAAACATGTTTTTAAACAAAATGTATTAATTTATTTTTCACTTTTTACTTTTATTTAAAGGTGCTTAATGATTGTGAATAGATTACTATTTTTTTTTAATAGCTAAGGCACTATTTTTTCAAAAAACATGTAACTTTAAAGAAAATGGTCACTATATTTGACCGATTTACTACATTTATATTGGCGCATATACTCTCTTAAGTACTCATAAAATGTAATTAATAAAAATATTGCCGCAACTCTTTTTGTTAAAATATTATTAAAATACCGACGTGCCATTGTAATTATGTATTGTGTAATATATTTCCAGTTTAATGAACATTTTTGAAATTTTTAATCCCAGAACAAAAACCGTTATGAAAATATTTGCAAAATGACAATAATTATTTTAGAAAACGTTACTTCTTTTTTTTCTCCAAGTAAAGTAAACAAAATACCAACGATGATAATTTCGTTATTAAAGTGTTGTTAAAGTAATGGTTTTAAAATAATGACTTGTTTTTCAGTTTAGCTTTAATTATGATTTCTTACAGTAGTGTAATCTATCCCGATTAGATTTAAATGTACTATAATACTAATATTTAAAATTTGATAGATTATAATATAATTATTTGATAGGCGAGGTTAGCAATAGTATTATAATGTGTATAGAATTATGTATGTCATAATTATAAAATTATGGAAAAATATAATGTGACTTTTATCCAATAGTACATTATCTTCCCCTATTATTTATGGAGCACAAAACTTTTTTCCAAATCTGACTAAAGCATTCGTTGGATTTATCATTATATAACTAATGAAGTTGTGTAATTTGTTTCAAAACATTTTTATTATTGGTTAAAAGTAGAGTCTATTGTTTTTTATCATAATCAAACAACACTATTACCGAACATTTAAATATTAACTGGTATTGTAGTCTGTTGATAATCACATACTAAATTAACGTTTTAGTATTAAAGTAATATGGTTTTTTATTCCAGACTCGGGTGCTATGTTTTTGGTATCTGAAGGTAAAAATATATATATATATAAAATATATATGTGTTCTCAGACAAAATGTTCATTTATAATATTTTCCTTGCAGACGGTAAAAATCCGCAAAATGACTATCGAAGTAAATATGACATTTTTTAATTTAGTTTAAGTTAAAATAATAATTGTACTAAGGTAATATTGTATTATAATTATATTTTTCATTGCAGGTACATGGCCCGGTCATGGTAATAAAGGTATGTCTTCAAAAGTTATTTACTGTTGTATCAACTATATTTTATTTAAAATTACAAATTCTAAAAAAACCCACCACAGTGGGGTCCAGTCATAGTGAAGACCGGGGGGGGGGGGTCACATGTTTAAAGAAATTATTATAACCAAAAGTGGTAAAATCACATTTGAAATGAATTTTTTTTTTATAAATTTAGTTAAAACTTTAATTTAACATTAATTCAGTTTGTGGTGAGGGGGAAAAGCCCACCATTTGTTACACCTATGGAAAAATATTTCGGCACAGATATTTTATAATTATGTAAAACAATTTGAGTAATTTAATATCATGCTATATAAAAAAATGTTCTCCTTTACAGATGCGATATTTTTTATAAAACCACAGTGAGTGTTCATATTTTTATCAACGCTTTACTAGGACAAACATTTTCAACTTATTTTTTACAAGGCCAAAACCAGTTAAGTTCAATGGCTAATTTGTATCAACTTTTGTGAGGGTTATAACAAATTAAGTAGTTTTTACCTGGGTAACGTTTTCAATCGCTGATAATAAGGGTATATATGTATTTTTTTTTTTTTTTGTTTTAAGGGAAGGGATGAATTTTGAATTGTTGCCATTATAAAATACCTTATGTGAACGATTTTCGATTTGCTGATCGTAACACGACCTCATACATTTTTTAAGATATACTTAAGCTATTTCACAGGATGATTAAAAACTTAAGTTATATTCATTTTATTTTAATTACCAATTAGTCTTCCTGTCTACGATTATGTTATCAAACAGCTCGACGAAATGGAGATAGACGATGAGGAGAAGTACAAAATTCGTATGCTTTTTTATCCAAATGATTGGCGCTTTGGAGAAATTGAAGTAGAGGAAGTACAAACTCCGATCTAGACTTTAATCTTATTGGTTTGGGCATTAATAAATGTATTATATTATTATGTTATGTTACTGATGTATGATTATATTATTATACTAATTTTAATGATACTTCTCGGAATGGAAAAAAAGAAAACCTTATTCTAAGTATGAATAAAATAATAAAATCACAATTGTCGAATAATAATAATACATATTGAATTTTAAATAAACATTAAATTATAATAGTTTAACTAATTTAATAACATAATAAAAATATATAATGTGTAAAATATGTTTTTCGTGATTGATTGACTTTAAAAACTTATTTATAGATATTGTCAAATATAGCATAAGTCCTCTTTCAATTTGGTGTTTATATTTTTTTTATTTTCGTCAAGAGCCACTTAAGTGTAATCTTTCAAAACTGCTTGATTCGCATTTTACCCTAGTTCCAAAAACTACCGGGAAGAACTACTTTTACCACAGATTTATATTGATATGAATATTTTAACCTATTACTTGACTTTATTTTATCTTTTTCAAATAAACAATAAGCACAAAAAAAAAACACTTTTATCCTATAATTTTTGTTTTAATAAACATATTTAAGATCCACTCGTAGGTCAGATAAGCATAAATGATATGTACTATAATACATGATAAAAAATATAATTCTTTTTGTAATTACTCTATAATAAAGAAAAAATAAAAAAAATTAGAGGTACTCGTACTACACAGCTGGAGCTAACTAAGGCATTTTATTGAATTTAATGGTTACTTTTTTTGGTACACTATGGTTATATGAGTAAAAGGGTAAAGTCAGTAGCCAGTAAAGATATAAGCCAGCTTTGGTTATTAATAATAACAATTTATTACAATGCACTTATAAACGTTTTCAAAATATACATAACACACAAAAACACGGCCCAATGGGGGGGGGGGCGATTGCCTCATGGCGGATTTTAGATGGTAGGGGCAACATCTAAAATCCGCCACTGAGAAAAGACCCATAAATTATATTACTATGTACTGGGATAAATTACAGCTATATTAAAATAATTTTAATGAAAACTTGATTCCGACCAAACACAAAACTATACACATTTTTTGTACTGTGTTAAATTTTAAAGATTTTTCATATGTTTACATTGCTACAGTAATTCAAGAAAAATGGTTCAAACGCTTAAATATACAAACGACAAAACGAAATATGAAAACAACTAGTTTTTGCTAAAGAGCAATGATAAAGTTAAATTTGTTTGATACCAACAGGCAACAGACATTAATCAATTGTTAACATTGCAACAGACCTTGTGCAATAGTCGAATACAGACAATTTTGTTTAACTCTAATGTAGCTAAATATATTCGGGTGGAAACAAAATTATATTGTAATAATATTATAGACATTTAGAAATAATTATAAAAATATGAAATGTATTTGAGGTTAAATGGTAGTGGTTTCAGGGTTTCTGTTTATCGTATTATGCTTGTACTATGAATTATTTTCATTTACACAATACCCATATTTTACAAAAATGATTCAAATAAATTGTTACTTACAAAAACACATTTACTTTAACTACCGAAAATTGCACCAAAATTAGTTAAATAACTTTTTAGTAACAAATGAAATTGCAGTTGTCAATAAAAATCCAACAATTTATACATTTTATTATTATTGTGTTTCTTCTATTAGGTTGTCTAAATAGCTTATTCTGCATTAAACTCATTGTATTATTGTTTATTAATAGTTTATTATTCATAATGTAATAGGGTATCCCATATTTTCGGAATGGTGCCTAATAAATCGTTGAGATAGTATAAGTAATTATATAAATCAAATTAATTGGATTTTTATGTTTTAATATGTCTATTACGCCAAATCCTATGGTACACGGATTTGGCCTAGAAGACATAATATTAAAAACCATAGAAAACGAACAGATTGGTGTAAATTTAAAGTTAAGACGCTGACATTCTTTACAATTTGCAGAAGCCACTCACTCTAAGTACAATCTAAGTTAGAGTACACCAGTAGAAAAATATCGTGCACGTGTATTGTTAAAATAATAACATATTTTGATATTTAACTAGAAAAATATGTAGGTTACTCATATACAAATACATAAGTTTAAAGAAAACCAGATGTGTAACTGATGTGTTCTGATGGCTCATGCTTAACTACATCATCATAGGGTATTTGTAAAATTTTAGAAAAACTAAAGCAACTCACAGAAAAAATTACTAATAGTGTTAAATAAACACATACATATTAAACACTTAAAAAGCTACATGACTATCAGAAACATATTGGAACTCATCCCGGGTTTGGAGGATAACGTAAATAATACTCGTTTCAAGGTCTAAATGATCTTCAGTTTATCTTCCCAGCTAAATGCTCATACTTGCTACAACATATTGTAAGACAAGAATGACACGTAGTCCGTATCCCATTATGTCTATTGATTGGAGGCTAGGTCAGGATTTTCGTTGGAAAATAATTAACTGTATTCAATTATTGAATAGTTAAAATCGTGGCTTTTGTACAATACAGAAAATTCGACTAAAATTGAAATGGTAGTTTTATATTTTTATCTACTAATTATACATTAGCGCTTTAGTGTATAAAAAAATAAAGAAAAATATTAAACATTTCCTCCGCCCCAGGTCAAAAAAAAACCCCATATTTAGTGAAAACATTTAGATTTACCATTATAAATCAAAAAAATTCAGTTCAACAAAAATACAAAAAAAAATTGTTTCATAGTGTATAATTTGCCTACTTGATGAGTATTATTTTATATTTAGCTATTTTTTTATAATCGCCAAAAATTAACAAAATAAGTATTACAATATAAATAAAAAACATAAAATTAAAACTTTAAAAAATTGAAATTTTGGATTTAAAAATTTTTCTTGACATTAGAAAAAAATTGGTTCGATGCTTGTTTTACGTATACATGCATGAGCGTCGTTTTTTTCAAATACAAGCATATATTTTTAATTCCATAAACGTGTAGACTATACATTTTAAAGAATGTCAGCGTTTAAACTTTAAATTTACACTAATCTATTCGTTTCCATGGCTTTTAATATGTCTATTACGCCAAATCCGTGTACCATAGGATTTGGCGTAATAGACATATTAAAACATAAAAATCCAATTAATTTGATTTATATAATTACTTATACTATCTCAACGATTTATTAGGCACCATTCCGAAAATACGGGATACCCTCTTACATTATGGATAATAAACTATTTATTTACAATAATACAATGAGTTTAATGCAGAATAAACTATTTAGACAATCTAATAGAAGAAACACAATAATAACAAAATGTATAAATTGTTGGATTACAAGTTATCTATAACTTACAAAATATAAATTTAAACTGTTTGTCAGTCTTTGACATGGAGCCTGGTATTTTAATAATATGGTTTTATGTTTGTGAGTTTTTATTGACAACTGCAATTTCATTTGTTACTAAAAAGTTATTTAACTAATTTTGGTGCAATTTTCGGTAGTTAAAGTAAATGTGTTTTTGTAAGTAACAATTTATTTGAATCATTTTTGTAAAATATGGGTATTGTGTAAATGAAAATAATTCATAGTACAAGCTTAACACGTTTTAAATAGAAACCCTGAAGCCACTATCATTTAACCTCATATACATTTTATATTTTTATAATTATTTTAAAATGTCTATAATATTATTACAATATAATTTTGTTTCCACTCGAATAGATTTAGCTACATTAGAATTAAACAAAATTATATGTGTTCGACTATTGCACAAGGTGTGTTGCAATGTAAACAAATGACAAATGTATATGTTGGTATCGTAAAGTTTCAATATTATTATTATTCTTCGGCAAAAACAAGTTGTTTTCATATTTTGTTTTGTCGTTTATGTATTTAAGTGTTGGAATCAATTTTCTGAAATTACTGTAGCAATGTAAACAAATAAAACATCTTTAAAATTTAACACAGTACAAAAAAAATGTATAGTTTTGTTTTTGGTCGAAATCAAGTTTTCATTAAAATTATTTTTACATAGCAGTAATATTATCTCATAACATATTGAATAAAACAAACCTTCACACACAAGCCATACACCGATAACTTTTATTCAGCCCTACCTGACCCGGCCCGGAAAATTAATTTATTATTCCGCCCTAAAATGAATGGGCTACCATATGGGTAAAAGAAATTAATTTGTACTCCGTTGTTGAAAGTAATCTTAAGACATATCGAATAAAATGAGAAATTTATTAATATTATTTATGTGTAGCATAATTTTTTTTAACCCCTACATTGTGGTAATTTTCCTTTTATTTTTTTAATACTGACCATGTTCGGTTTGTAGGGTTTTTTCCCTTTGCGTTTACCTAACAACCAAGGCGTGGTCCTTTATTTTGTCCAACCAAAGGCGAATATCATGACTACCAGCCAGTAAAGGCAATCCTTTTAGCCGTGACCGCTTGGCACGGACTCGGATATGACGAACCCAAACAATTTCCCAAACCCTATTCCTTAAAAAGGAGTGAAAATTGTTGTCTATATTTATCTTTTTCCATCAAAGTTTTAGGACTCGTGGTCTGAACATTAGACTGAAGGTAGATCTAGTGCAGGGCTGACAAAATGTAGGTAATTTTTTGGCTGAATCAACAATGAACAATATTTATTCAGTTCGAACGCTTTACATACTCTTTGCAAATTAAATACCGAGGCCCTCCCGAATGTATGGCACACATTACATTATTGCTGTTTACTCTGTATGATCAGGTGTAGTTTCTGTATTTTTGCTAACGGATCGACATAGGTAACTCGATCTTCATTCGTTAAATTCCCTCACATTCCTACAGTTGATCTTAACATTTACCGCAATATACTCTTATCCGCATTATAATGGCAACTGTCAGTTATTACTTTATTGTTTTATCTGTCTGTGTTGTCTGTACGTTTGCAAATCGTACGTATAATTTATATTTCATTTTTATACCACAATTATTCATAGATACAATT